TCATGATGTACGTGAGGGATGGGTAGCTTGAATGTGGGCATGTACTAGTACAGTACCTTGGTATGTATGTATATGATCGAGATATGGGGATAGGGTTTTGGATAAGAGGCTCTTGAAAACTTTATGTAGACGAGACAGCAAGCAAAGGGGGGGGGATATACGAATGGAAAGGGAAAGGTAGAAAGGCAGAAAGGTAGAAAAGGGAGATAGCGGACAGCTGGGCAATCAAAAGGAAAAAAGAGGGTGCCTGGAGTATGGTAGCAAGTACGGTTCTTTCCCCCGATCTGATCTGAGATCTGTGATGTTCTGAAATCCAGGCAAACCTCCGCGCTCATACACAACAATAAGGTAATGTAGATCTGCCCGGGTAGTAGGTAGGTACGATGATAAAAGTGTATGTACTGTACCTAATCCACAAAAAAAAAAAAAAAAAACAGTAGACCTCCAGCAGTACGTGCTCGTATTGATGAGGGCGACGACGAAGACGACAGCAAGTAAAATAAAAGATGACCGCAGCCGTAAGAAAGCAGCAGCCAATCCTTCAGAATAATAATACCTTTCACACCCTCTCAACACCCCAATCCACAACAAAAGCAATGATCCCACGGTAATTCTTTCACCCCCAACAACCCCTGGCCGCTGTTGCTTATTTTTCCAGTGTAGCGAGAAATGAGGAAAAGAAAATAATGGGGTGGACGATGATAGTGGTAGTGATGGTAGGTGGGTGTCTCTGTTTCTAGGACCTTTCAAGATGCTCGTAAACCAGGGTTTCGGGGGGCGGCGGCGGTGGAGTAAGTGGTCGTCAGGAAGAACAATCAGGAACGAAAATGGTGGGTGTATTGTCGGTATGTATTGGATGGAATGGTGTGGATGATGATGTGGACAAAGTCTTGTAGAGCTGAACGAGGGGTGAAATGGTCCCCACAGGAAGAGGATAAATTTAAAGGCTAGTGAGTACTCGAGTGGTAGGATTCGTGCCGTAGCCTTTTCTGCTCGACCGACTGAAGAAGAGGAAGAAGGAAAATGGTGTGACGAAAGCAGCGGAATATCATATACTCGAGCAAGTGAGTGGAATGAGCCGAACAGCACAAACGCATTGAGCAAGGAAAGACAAGAAAAGGCCAGGAACAGATCGCGGTGCTACTCTACTTATGACTGCATCTCCGTTGACTTCTCTCAAGAATTAAAGATGTTCGCTGTGAGCCCGTGGTACATGCTCTCCACCACGCAGCAGCTAGCTTGAGAAGTTTACTGGTCCGAACAAAAGGTCCGTCAGGATATGACACTCCGAGATAGCGCTTCACCCCCCCTCCTCCCTTCAGTTCCCAGCCAGCCCTTCCACTGTGCCCATTGCGGACGCGGAGATGTTCATTTGCTCATCAAGCCGCCATTCTGGATACCCCTACCTCCGTCCCGAAGATCTTTCCTTCGTGCCTCCCCGGAGGGGGTGGGGGTGACGGGGGCTTGGTATGCTTGGTGTGTGTCCGTGTTGCTGAAAATAAACTTGGGGGGGGGGGCAAGGCAAGGTACGGCTGCTACTACGGTATGTGCTATTCGAGTGCTACAATGGAAAGGCTGATATCGGTAATTAGTAGAGCAGGATACAGTTGAAGTTGTTGTCGAGGTGATTCCAAATGTTGTCAGGGTAAACTGGTACGAGGTACAGCGCAGTTACTCGTACAGTACAGTACAGTACTACTAGTAGTAGAGTAGAGTAGCGTAGGGCGATTCATATTCAATAACGAATAATAAATAATTAACCGGCAAGGTTCGAATACAGCAGATCTGGCAAACCCACCCAAACCCAGGAACCTTAACCTGCAGCGCATCGCATTGTATGTGCTGCATCTTGCGGAAGAGTTTTCCCTGCCGTAGCCAGGGCTCGGCGGTGCCGCTTGTTTCCGGACAGCACAGCACAGAGCACGATATCAAAAGTGAATAATAATAATTGCCCCAATTATTCCACCAGCAAATGGGCGAAATAAATGTGGAAAAAAAGGGTTTCTACCGAAGCCTCCCATGATAGGGTAGCGTGCTGGCAGTGGAAAGGAATTAAGAGAGAATGAATGAAAAAGAATAAGACGGACAACAGAAAATGTTAGGCTGTCCCCCTGTCCATTTTTTTCTCGCTCGAGTTGATATGTTATGGCCTGTTCGTGGTTCCCACAGACCGCATGGCTGGGGAAGGGCGGCCAGATGCATCTCCTCCTGGTCGCCGAAGGGAAGGGGCCATATGATGCGCAGTCGACGCGGGCCTTTTAGGAAGTGATTGACGACGTGCGACGATGCGAAGGGTCTCGGCTGACAAGATGGGGCACAAGGATCGCCTCCCAGTTACTCGAGTGCCGCAGAGTGCCAGCCAAAAGCTTCAACATTCCTGTCACGCATTCGGAAAGCACCCCTAAGAGAGCATCACTCATCCCATTCAACCAAGCCAACCACAACCACCCTTCTTCACCTCTCCATCTTTTCACCTTCCACCACCGCCATTCAATAGGAGACATCACCTCTTTCACCCCCCCACCACACGTACCGTGCGGGTACCTTTTACAGTGCACATATCATGCCCGTCACCAACTCTGTCATAAATCCCTACCTCTCCAACTTTCTGCGCCGTAGGGTACGAGTACACGTACTTGCAGTGCCGTACCCAGCTATCATACCCTAGACCAACAAACCTAGCCCTAGACACTCTCAGCTACCCGCCCACCCGTCCACCACACCCCCCCCCCCTTCCCCGGGTCGACCTTCGGCCCATGCATAGCGCATCCATAGAGCAAAATATTTATTGACGAAGCGAGTGAAATATGGATCGTAGTTCATCCCCGTAGGTCGTCGTCATCGTCCAGCATTATTATTGTTTCTCTGTTACCAAGGTATCGTCCGTCATATCTAGTGTTTAGGGTAGGCCATCGGGATGAGGAAGCCCACAGAGAACCGTGGGAAAAGCCGCTTTGACCTTTTTCCGAGACATTGGATTTTTTTATTTTATTTTTTCCTCAAAAAAAAAAAAGGCATGGGGTGAAAGTAGGGTGGATGGAGGGATAAAAAAATAAACTATCAGAAGTGGTGGTGGCGGTGGTGGTAGTGGTGGTGGGCAAGAAGAATCATCTTCCTGGGAAGGAAAAAAGAAAAAAAGAAGCGAATTTTTAAAAATGAAAAAGAAAAAGCGGCGGTGCCGAGATGGGGATGGGGGGGGAGCTGAGAAGGTGGGAATAGGAGTGGAATGAAGTCTCCCTTTCGCCAGTGGCTTCTCCAAGCGGGCCTACCGCAAAGAGAGGATGTCTTAGTTTCCTAAAAGCGGTCAGACCGTAAGAAGTCATGCAGGAACCTGCAGGGGCTGCGAGTCCTCGGTACGGTGGACGGGGTGTCACGAGGCCGAAAGCGACCAGGGAAGGAAATCCAATCACTTGCACCATTTCACAGAGTGGACGCCCAAACCTATCAACCAACTCAAAGGAGCCTGAGCGAACCCTCTTCACCATTAGGATGATGCTTGTGGGCGATGCGGCAGTGATACAATACGGTAACTCGTAAATTACAAGTAACTGTTACGGTATGATGTCAAAGGGTTTGATGTTAGGAAGAGTGAATTCTTTGCTATTTTTTACTCGCGTACCTGTTGGTCGGGTACAGTACGAGTACAGTACCCTACATGAGTAACCGTATCAAGCAGGATACTTGTACCTTGCCTGTGACAAGTGCCAAGTATAACCAAGCCACTCCTGATTCGGTGCGTTCGTGCTTGCCTAATTAACCTAGGAGTACCACCACTTACTCGTACATGCGCTCTGGTACTGTACCCTTAACAAGAGTACCCTACATATGAATGTCCGAGTGCCATCTCGGTATCATATTATTATGGAGATGATAATAATATTATGATACAAAAGGGAAACTCAGGGACTCGCAGGGCGTGTACTGTACGAGTATCATACATAACCTATGGAGATTGGCGATACCCTAACCAGTACCCGCCCTTCTCTTTTGTCGGGGAATGCGGCTTATCTCTTTGGCTCCGGACTAGCGGTAATTACCGCAATTCCCCTTCCGTTAGGGTTACCCCCCCAATCATCCCAGTTTTGGACAACCCCACAAACCAGAAAAGGGTTGTCTGAATAAATAAAACACAAAAGTCTAAATCCCCGACCACGACTCTATCAATTCCCGGTTTCCAACCCAGTGGAGAGAGTGAGAGAGCAAGAAAGGAAGGGAGGACGAAAGAAAGAGAAAGAAAAGAAGAAAGGTCCTAAAGTTAATCACTTACTGTGGGGGAGGGAAAGACGTCGCAAAAGATGAACCTGTTTGCGCCGATTCGCCCATAGGGCATCTCCGCCAAAATGAGATGGACCATTTATCCTCCCCCCCCTCACTCCATTGTTCGTTGGCAACAAAAAAGGGAGAAAAAGGGAGAGAGGAATGTATCTCTCTCTCTCTCCCTTCACCGACCAACATTTTTGACCCCTACACCCTACACCTGCCTACACAAACTCCCTCTCTTCTCCTCTCGCGCGCTCGTCATATGACCGTGTAGCCCCACGATGGTTATCGCACGTATCGTTGGTTGCCTTCTCCTGTCTTAGGTATAAGTTATCCCTCAGTTGCCGAATCAATCGATGAGGTTCGTTATTATTGTTTTTTCCTTCCCTTTTTCTTTCCTTTTTCTCACATCATGATTTCCTTGGTCGATGATCATCGCCGGGGATAATTCCCGGTACGAAAGATTTCGCAAAAATACTTTTTCTTTTCCTTTCTTTTCCTTTCCTCTTGTTCTCTTTTCAGAAGCGGCTTGGATACCATAGGATGAAGAAATGTGTGTGTGTGTGGGGGGGGGGGTGGAGAGACTGAGAGCGTGACAGTGAGTAGTAGATAGTTCAATAGGATACGGCATCATAATTATAATACTTTGATTTCTCTCCTTCTCGTGCACATGCCATACAATTAGGATAAATTTCTCAGTCCCTTTTTCTCCCTCCCCCAATACCCAAACCCATTTATTTCCCCACTCTGTACTGTAAATCGACTAGCTCATAACGCCTTGAGGAGAACGGGAAAAAAAGAAGAAAAAAAGTAAAATTCGAGAGGGTAAAAAAAGAGATTTCCGAACGGAACGAACCGCGTTTCTATAAAAGTACGATAGAAGTGCTCGTACTATATACTGTATAATTTTTTTTTTTTTTTTGCCCAGGTTCAATTCCGAGGGAAGGGGGGATCCGAACCGTGGAACGGAAGATGGAAAAAAATGAAATATGGAACAACAAGAAGCTTTGACTTTTCGGTAAAATGGGGGGGTAAACTTCTCTCTTTCTTTTATTATTTCGGCCACCAACTTCAAGCCCCAACCCATTTGCCTAGAAGTTACTATATTTATATAATGTAATAATATCAAGTCTTTATATATATAAGTTTGCCAGTGCCATGAAAAATGGAGCAATCAATCTCCCCCCATTTACCGTACCCGTACCGTTTTACCGCGCCATAACTCTGCTGGGTTTATAATCCCTCCTTTGCTGCCTTAACTCGTACCCAATCCATTCGAGCAACTCAAAGTATATATACTGTATGATACTCGTACAAGTACGTACTGTACAGTACTCCTACAGAACTTATACCCGGACACGAACGACCCGTCCAAAACCAGGCTCTCCCGTGGCGGGATAGCGACAGGGACGGACAACCCATTTTAATTGAAAGCGTTTACGGGTTGTATACAAGTGCTCGTACAGTAGAGTACTCGTACAGCATTGGCAGTATTGTACAGTACGCCCACCCAACCCACACTCATCAAGTACTACTGTTAAGAAGAAGAAAAAACTCCCGGGTGTTTTCCGCTCGGATGAAATCCCCTTCCAAAGTTCCAACATGAACCCGCCGGCACAGCCCTAGCCAAAAGATCAAACTCACCCCAAAGCACGAGTGATAAACTTGTAACCACCAGATCTACAATAACTCGTGTATATTCCCGGGGAAAAATTGTGAGCTCTCTCTCTCTACCCCTAACTTTTTATTATTAATAATTATTATTTATTTTACTTTTTTGATAGTAATAATAATAGTGATGATGCCATAACTCACTACTCCGTCTTCTCACTCTCTCGCTCCCTCGTTCCTGACTCGATCTGACCTGACCTGGCCTGGCCTGACCCAGCACAGCAGGCAAGCAGCAGCAGATGAGAAAGAGAGACCCATCCGGAGTTCCACCAGAGAAAAAAAAAAATACAAAATAGAACGGGCCGCAAACTCGGGACAAACGAACGGGTGATGGGGTCTGATCGGCAAAATTACGCCACGAACGCGAGTCGAGTCGAGTTGCTGGAGCGCACAACTCGAGTATAATATAAGCGAGGTTTTTGCCAATTTGACATGTCTCTCTCCCTCCCTCCCTCTCCCTCTCCCTCACTCTCTTTTTACCCATCGTCTTCTGAATTGGGGGTCTCGAGCTCTGTCGATCGGATGATTGATTACAAGTGGCCGTAGGGGGGGACTCCCGTGGTGGTGGAGGAGGATCACCTGCCCCTTGGTTAAAAAAACTACGGTACGGTCGCCAGATGCTTTCTATCTCCTTTGGCTTTTCTTTTTTTTTTCCCTCTCTCTCTATCCCCTGTTTCTCATAGTTTAACCATTCTGATACTATTATTATCGTCCTAGTTCTAGCTGTTACCATCGATCTTATCAGTTGACCGAGCGATTGGGTCGATAAATTGCAACCGGAAAGGAAAACCAAAAAGAAAAAAAGAAAAAAAAAAGAGCACGGTGTAATAATAATAAACCAACCCTGGCAATTTTATATACCGTAGGTGAAAAGTAAAAAAGGAATAATATTATTATTATTATTATTATGATATTATATGTTGTGACATGAGGATTTTAAGAAAGAGAAACCCAAAAAAAAAAAAATGTCGATGAACCAATTGGCCCAGATCATGATCCCTGGCATGCAGGCGTGGGGAGGGGGAGGAGAGTTCGAGATATAAATCTATCATATCTAGATCTGTTAATAACCGTAGGAGGGATGAGCATCCTGCAACCCGATAAGCGGAACCTGTGAAAACGATGCCCCTAGATCGTGAAGCGATGATTGATCACTCACTCCGTATACCACATCTAGCGGAGAGGAAGGAAAAAACACGGTTATGATATTCACACACACACCCGAAGCTCATCACCAACCTTGTTCGGGTTTTGAATCAGCTAATCCCCCCCATGCCGCCGTACATAATCTACCGTTACTCTTACTTGGCATTTTATTATATATCCGGACGTCTTGGAGTCCGTCCAGAACACGGGTACGATAGGTATCATACATTTACAAGTACAAGTACAGGTAACTAACTACAAGTAGTTGCTGGTACACGTACCCGCTGAAATGTAACGGTGGCAATTGGTTTTGTCCGGAGAGGGGTGGGAGGGCGGACTGGAGAAATATTTTGTGTGTGGGCGCTCGGACTTGTGCGGACTTTTGGTACGGTAATAGGGAATATGATACGTACGAGTACAGTACAGGTATCATACCTGGTTTGTGGTGAATAGCGGAGGCAGGGGAAATCTGGGTTCTATCATACATAGTATCATACTCGTACTAGATTTTCTTTAAAAAAGGAAAAAAGGTAAAAACTTCCATAGCGTACAGTACAGTACTCGAGCGCTGTACTGTACTGTACTGTACTGTACTGTACTGAGCAGGTGGTAGAATCATAGAACACCCTAATGTACTGCCCCGCCAAATATGTGGTGGGTCGTCGCAATTGGCTATTAGGCCGTGTGAACTCTCAGCGAGGCGCAGCATGGCTTGGCATTCTAGAAGGGTTATGAAAATACGTTTTGTCATTGAATCACAAGTATTGGAGAAAATTGAATGCACCACTTTGCTTTAAATATATAAATTCTTCAATTGCATCTTGAAATGAGAGTATTCCTACATGAGTATGAGAACAAATTACCATTAGAATGATTATAACTAGGACTGTTCCTATTTTTATGATTATGACTTTAATGGTAGGAGCAGCTTTAACACAATGATGCATCTCTAATAGGGAAGGAAAAAAAGGAAAGAGGAGGGCCAATGGAGGCAGAAACTGCTGCTAGAGAAAGAGAGAATTTGTTTGGAAGAGGTGTTATTTTTGCTGCTGGCTGGGATTTCCTCCAATTATCTAACAATTACATAAAATTGTTATTTCTATCATTTAAAGAAGAAATCTGTATGAGGTTCTAAGAAGAGATAGAAAACAGGTTTTAAGAGATGATATCTGGAACTGAAGATACAATTTAGTTAAACAGTTAGATTTAATTTGCAGTATTCTTAAAAATATTATTGAATCAATAAATTATTTCTTTGATAAGCTATTGTTCATACTATTATTTTTATTTTTATTTTAATTTTGTATAAATGGTAATTGTATATAAAACTATTTATAGTAGTTAGAAAATATTGCTTATAAGTATGAAATAAAACCTCATAATATATATAATATTGATAAGTATAATGATCCTACACTGGAGAGTAAGTTCTTGGTGATGGAGAACTATACTTCTCTTCTTTTTCTTCTATATGAGAGCTCTTAGACCTATGACTACGTTATTGATGGTATAAGACCTTTGTCTTCTATCTGTAACGCCTATCGTAAGCTTTCTCTAACTCCATCTCATATAGAGTCTTCTTGTCGTAGTAATAATAAAGTTTGTGATAATAGTAAAAAGTGTAAAGGAGTTATTATATTCATAAAGTAATAAGTAGGAAAATAACTTAGAACAAAACGTGAAGAGCCTATCCTCCACGGCTGTACCAGCCTCCTTATATAGTACTCTTTCTGCTCCTAGTTATATGACCCCAAGTGGTCATATATGCGAAACCAAATCATAACAAACTAGTCATATGACAAAAGTGGTCACATGCGCAAAACCCATGACCTTATAGCGAGGTTATGTGCGAAAACTCATAAACCAATGATAATGCAATAAACAAGTCATAAGATCTCAAATGGTCATATGCACTAAACCCATGAGCTCATAACAAAGTCATGTGTGAAATATAAATCATATGCACAAGGCATACTTGCAAGGCACAATCGCTATGCGTACATCCCAAGACTCATAATTGAGTCATGTGTGAAACCTGTAACGGTACGGTGTCACGAACGTGGCTTAGTGAGAAAAAGGTTTTCACGTGACACATGGTTATGAGTCACAGGTATGTTATTGTTTCACGCATATAACCTATTCGGGTTGTATGATTAGTTATGTGTGGGATTTGTGATGCTTTCGCACATGGCTCAAGTATGAGTCATGGGACATGCGCCTGACGAGTATGCCTTACGAGTATGCCTTACGGGCAAGCCTTGCGCATATGATTTATGTTTCGCACATGACCTCATTATGATGTCATGGGTTTCGTGCATATGACTCAGTCGAGTCATATGACTTGTTTATTGCGTTATGATTGGTTTATGAGTTTTGCACATGACCTTGCTATAAGGTCATGGGTTTTGAGCATGTGATCACTTTGGTCACATGACTAGTTTGTTTTGATTTGGTTTTGCACATGTGACCACTTTAGGTCACATGATTAAAGGCGGGAAGAACTCTATATAAGGAGGCCGATGTGGCCGAGGAAGATAGGTTCTTCACGCTTTGTTCTAAGTACTTTTCCTACTTATTACTTTAATGAATATAAAACACCTTTACAATCTTTATCCTTATTGCAACATTATCATTACACTAAGAAGCACTCATTACGAAGACGAGTTAGAGAAAGCTTACGATAGGTGTTTCCGATAGAAGACAAAGGTCTTGTACTATCGGTAACATAGGCAGAGGCCTAGAGCTATCGTAAGACAAGGAAAGAAAGGGAAAGAAAAGGTAAGTATCGTTCCCCGTCGCCAAGAACTAACTATCTGAAAGGGGATCATTACATTACCTTTAGTTACTACTTCTTAGTTGCCATGCTGGTACCTTAGTTTTGTTTTAGGTTTTGTTTTAAGTATCGCTTTGATACTTAGTTTGTTTTAAGTATTGTTTGATACTTAGTTTTGTTTTATGTTTTGTTTTAAGTATCGCTTTGATACTTAATTAGTTTTACCAAAGTGTATCAATTGATACCTTTGATTAGTTTTGTTCATGCTAGATATGAACAGATTTGTGTATTTAAAGACTGCCTGTTTCTACGATAGAAAAGGCAGATTTCAACAGACAGTATTTCAATATACTTGGTTGAACAGTTACTTCTTTGTTCCTCAGTACACCCTCGAAGCCTCCTTTAGTTCTCAGCTCTCGCCTTCTCTCTGGAAGAGCAGGCTACCTGCCAACTATCATATCTATTACCAATAATGTGATTAGCACCTTACGAACACGTTACATTTTTTTAACCTCAGCAAGTGGTTAAAAACCTGTCCCCAGATTTAGGCCTGATCAACCTATTGATATCCACCTCAGAACGCTAGTGGAGAGAAGTGGCAGAATTATGGTACATTCAGCTTCATCTCAAATCCAATATAGAGTCTTTGACGACAAGGAGTAGGAAGCAAATCCCATGACAAGACCTTACAAGAAAGAAACAATCATGGTGCTCTGCTAAGGAGCTGGGAGACCCTGCAAACACAGAAGGCACACAACCTCCAGGAGAATTCCCTTCTACTCCAGCAAAGAAGCCTTCCTTTGAACCTCCAATCGACCCCAAATTGAGTAGAGAATCAGACATAGCTAGTACAGGAGGAGGGCCCTCTGGAGGAGGAAAATCTCGGACTCAGCCTGAAGAAGAGGAAGTACCCGCAGTATTTGAACCTCCTAAGTTTAAACTCCACCTCCCAGCAAAGTTTACAGGAGAAGGAAAAGACCTCAAACCCGAAGCCTTTGACCGATAGGCGATGGAACTCACATACTATCTCCTCCTGCAAGGGAAAGATGTGGAAGACCCTACAACCGGACTATACATTGGATCATTCTGTGAAGGAAAGGCAACCGACACATACCACCAATGCTATAAGGATTACGGTG